GTAATACAACTGAGCACCACACTATGCCACCGCAACAGCAAGCACACCACAGGACAGCACCACGCCACGCACCGATGTTTTGCTCTTCCACACGCCTCATTTACCGCACACCCCAAAACACACATAATGGGAAAAGCAAAGGATCATTACACAATGCAAAAGCAATATAAATAAAAACAAGAAAATCAAAACCCACACAGATCCCTCGCACACGCACACAAACACCCCACGGCATTCTTCACAATAAGCAAAACAATTTGTTACCCCTAAACCCAATAAAACACGTGTGGTGCCGCCACATAAGCGACCAACACACACACACAAAAAAAAAAAAGAATGTATAGAGCATTTCTCTGGTGCAAAGCATAGAGACAAGCAGAGCGTATATATGTATATATATATACTGAGAGGGACATATCAATTAATATAGGCTTTTCTCTCTTCCACCCACTGCTAAGTGCGGGCCACGCAGGACGCAACCGCATTAGCCTCGCCGTGCAACGGAATCCATGCAGCCACTCAATAGAGTGTTGGTACGGCGGCGGCAGCGGCAAGTAGAAGAAACAGCGGACAGAGACAATCAGCAGCCGCACTGTTATTGCCGTGGATAGGAGGCGGAAAGTCTGTCAGGTCTGCCTCCCAACCCCCGCGCCCACCGCCGCTTCATCCTCCCTCGGCGGAGGATCCACGGCACCCTTGCGCATCATCAGCGGCATCAGGGCCCTTGGGTCCCGTGGCTGCGGCACTGCCACCGGCCTTTTCGCTGACGGCCTTATCTCCTAATGATTGTCCCACAACAGACGTCACACCATCGGCGGCCACATCGTCGTTGTCCGGAAGATCGCTCTTCTTCTCCGCCTCCTGCGGCGCACCCGCGGTGTCGTTGGGCGAGATCACCCCGTCGCCTGTCGGGGCATCCCGGATGGACTTCCTTCTCTTCTCGCGACTGATGCTCCTGGGGTGCAGCCAAGTCGACATCCTTCGGTGGGGTTCCGCGGCCGGGATCAATGCTCTCCGCAACGGGGACGGATGCCCCTGACAAAACTTGTTCGGTAGATGCCGGTGAAACCGTCCTGCTCCACACCCTCTCCCCGCCGTCCCACGGAACCACTGCAGGAAGGCTGCCGCCAGTGGCGGATATCGTGCACACCTCCGCGTGGTCAGGACAAATGACGTTTCCCTCATCGTACGGTCGAG